GGTGGTTCATTTTGGTGACTGTATTGTACCCTTACCTGTTTTCTGCACTGTTACATGCTAACAGCACAAGGTGTATTTGGTTGAACATTCAGGGGTTTGTTATATCAGACTGGGAAGGTATTGACAGGATTACCTCGCCGCCACATTCGAACTACGTATACTTTGTCCAAGCTTCAGTTCTAGCTCGTTATTTCATATAAAAACCTCTTACAGAAATGAAAGAAGATAATTTCTGGTTCGAAATTATAAAACTCTGAAGATGGGTCTCTTTGTTTTGAAGGTCATGGTCCCTATCAACTATAAAGAATTCATTAATGATCCCATTAACCTGGTCAAGAATAACGTTGTCCCAATGGATCGTACTGATGATGCTACGGGAAGGATTCTGCTTGTCAAGTTCACCATGGGTCTTTTTGAGAACCCGTTGGCTGATTTCAGCCTAGTCAAGGAGCTTGGAAGCCAGGTCAGTTTATCCGAGATAATCAAATATCAGGATTTGCAACCCTCCTATTAGTCATTTGATTGATGTATATAGTTCGATAAAATTAGAATGGACATTCCTTTGAAATTGGTGCTACACTCAATGGCCAAAAGACTGCTTAGTAAGTTTTGTATTTATTGATTTACTGACATGAATCAATCATTTTTGTATTTTAATTTAACATTACCAGGATCATAGAGATTTGGCAAGGGAGGCTGTCAGAAAATCCATCGTGTTTTTGAAGAATGGGAAAAGCGGGAACATTACAGATCCAATCATACCTCTTCCCTAGAAGGTGTCTAAAATTCTAGTCGCCGGCAATCATGCTGATAATCTTGGGCTACCAATGTGGTGGATGGACAATTACATGGCAAGGATTCAGTGGCAACAATTATACAACCGGTGTAGTCTGCTTTCATCGCTATATTAAATACATAATATTCTGTCTATATGCACTACTTTTGTGCTCTACAATAAAATGATAGAATTGAATATTCACAAAATAGAACATTAAGCACTTAATAAGAAGATTACACAGGTGCTGGTTAGGTGTAACAAGAAAATCGTCTTCACAGTTATTAGAAAGTATGGAAACGTGCGTATAGGATGTCCGTACATAAATGAATCTAATCTTGGCTGTATTTTTCATAAAACTTCCTTTTCATGATTAGGGACTACGATCCTTGATGCTATAAAATCAGCAGTCGACTCAAGCACAGAAGTTATCTACAGTGAGAATCCTGACGGTAATTTTGTAAAGTCCAACAACTTTGCATATGCCATCGTTGTGGTTGGCGAGCATCCTTATGCTGAGACTGCGGGAGACAGCCCAAACCTAACGATGGCGGAACCTGGCCCAAGTGTCATCAGCAATGTGTGTGAAAGTGTCAAGTGCATTGTTATCTTAATAACTGGCAGACCTATTGTAATAGAACCATATATTTCCTCGATTGATGCTCTGGTGGCAGCATGGTTGCCAGGCTCTTAAGGCCAAGGCATTACTGATGTCCTTTTTGGGGATCATGGAATCAGTGGAAAGCTTCCAAGAACATGGTTCAGGACTGTCGATTGACTACCAATGCATGTTGGTGATTCACAGTATGATGCACTTTTCCCATTTGGGTTTGGACTGGAAACTGAGTCGGTAAAGGAGCTTGTAACAAGGTAACAGGTTCTATTTGCTTCATTTCAAAACATGATAGTGCATTGTTCTATTTTTACAGAAAGGATGAGATCTATCACCGTCATTTAAAAGCAGCACTCTGTAACTGTATAACTACAACAAGGTCCCATTAGGGTCAAATCCTTACAAGTAAATTTGTATTATACTTCAGCAAGTATTAAAATAACTAACCATGCATTAATCCTTTTAGATGTTTTCCGTTTTATAGTTCATTGAATGTGTCTTCTTTCTATTAAATATTTCCAGTACACGGGGACCCTGAACTGGCACGAAGAATTGGTTCAGCAACTGCTCTTGAAGCCCGAGCTACGGGGATTCCTTATGTATTTGCTTCTTGCATTGCGGTAAATAATACATTGCAAAAGGATTTATGCGTTCAGCATTTTCTTCTTTTACATGGTTAACAATGTCCTTTGAGTGGATTCATATTTTTTCCATCTGATGACTTCTGTGCGTTGCCTGGAACATCCTGTATAGGTATGTAGAGATCCAAGATGGGGCTGGTGTTACAAAAGCTACAGTAAAGATCACAAAATTATGCAAGAAATGACGGAGATCATTCCAGGTTTACAGGGTGATATCCCTGCAAATTCTCAGATGCAGTTTTTGCGCATTTCTCTTGATACAGTTAAAGTGCCTAGCATACATCAGTTATATGATTTATCCTGTTTTGCATCAGTTCCCACTTTTTAGGTTCTTTAAGCTTCATCTGTGTTAATGAGTTGAAATTTCAGATTCAATATGAAATTAAGGTATTTGTGATAAGTTGATAACTCAATAATATTACTGATCCCGAGTTCTGGTTGTTATCGGTCTCACAATAGGTGCTTCATTTTGGTGACTGTATTGTACCTTTATCTGTGTTCTGCACTGTTTCATGCTAACAGCACATGGTGTTTTTGGTTGAACATTCAGGGTTTTGTTATATCAGACTGGGAGGGTATTGATAGGATTACCTCGTCGCCACATTCAAACCACACATACTCTGTCCAAGCTTCAGTTCTAGCTGGAACTGACATGGTTCGTGGCTTATTTTATATAAAGACCTCTTACAGAAATGAAAGAAGACAATAGCGTCTCTATTACACTATATAAAACTCCTTTTCTATTCTGGTTCGAAATTATAAAACTCTGAAAATGGTTCTCTGTTTTTTTGAAGGTCATGGTCCCTATCAACTATAAAGAATTCATTAATGATCTCATTAACCTGGTCAAGAATAACGTTGTCCCAATGGATCGTATTGGCGATGCTTTGGGAAGGATTCTGCTTGTCAAGTTCACCATGGGTCTTTTTGAGAACCCGTTGTCTGATTTCAGCCTACGACATGAGCTTGGAAGCCAGGTCAGTTTATCCGAGATAATCAAATATCAGGATTTGCAACCCTCCTATTGGTCATTTGATTGATGTATATAGTTCGATAAAATTAGAATGGACATACCCTTGAAATTGGTGTTACATTCAATGGCCAAAAGACTGCTTAGTAAGTTTTGTATTTATTGATTTTCTGACATGAATCAATCATTTTTGTATTTTAATTTAACATTACCATGATCATAGAGATTTGGCAAGGGAGGTTGTCAGAAAATCTGTCGTGCTTTTGAAGAATGGGAAAAGCAGGAACATTACAAATCCAGTCATACCTCTTCCCAAGAAGGTGTCTAAAATTCTAGTCGCCGGCAGTCATGCTGATAATCTGGGCTACCAGTGTGGTGGATGGACAATTGCATGGCAAGGATTCAGTGGCAACAATTATACAACCGGTATAGTCTGCTTTCATCGCTGTATTAAATACATAATATTCTGTCTATGTGCACTAATTTTGTGCTCTACAATAAAATGATAGAATTGAATATTCACAAAATAGAACATTAAGCACTTAATAAGAAGATTACACAGGTGCTGGTTAGTTGCAACAAGAAAATCGTCTTCACAGTTATTAGAATGTATGGAAATATATACCCGTGCGTATAGGATGTTCGCACATAAATGTATCTAATCTTGGCTGTATTTTTCATAAAACTTCCTTTTCATGATTAGGGACTACGATCCTTGATGCTATAAAATCAGCAGTCGACTCAAGCACAGAAGTTATCTACAGTGAGAATCCTGACGGTAATTTTGTAAAGTCCAACAACTTTGCATATGCCATCGTTGTGGTTGGCGAGCATCCTTATGCTGAGACTGCGGGAGACAGCCCAAACCTAACGATGGCGGAACCTGGCCCAAGTGTCATCAGCAATGTGTGTGAAAGTGTCAAGTGCATTGTTATCTTAATAACTGGCAGACCTATTGTAATAGAACCATATATTTCCTCGATTGATGCTCTGGTGGCAGCATGGTTGCCAGGCTCTTAAGGCCAAGGCATTACTGATGTCCTTTTTGGGGATCATGGATTCAGTGGAAAGCTTCCAAGAACATGGTTCAAAACTGTCAATCAACTCCCAATGAATGTTGGTGATCCACTTTTCTCGTTTGGGTTCGGACTGGAAATTGAGTCGGTAAAAGAGCTTGTAACAAGGTAACCCTTCATACATGTATATCTATATAGGACCAGCTTCATAGCAGGTATCCTGTTTTCCTGCACGCTTGTTCATATAACAAAACTTGAAGGGAAAAAGAAAGAAATGAAATTTACAAGGGATTTGGGACCGGTGGTGGCTTCTAGGTTTCAATCTATCAATACTACATATTGTTTTAAAGCATTCATGTGTTCTGGTGTAATATAAACCGAAGAACTTGATTACCTGTATCGATACTGACTTCAGCTTCGTGATGCCTGCAGGTCAACCTCAGCTAGTGTTGTTGCAAGGCCATGCATACTTATCGTCATGGTTGCTCTGATTCTCAGCTTATAGTTTAGAGGTATAGTTTTCGGTCTAGGATTATTGAGTTCTTGGCTTTTCCGAATTGCGTAGGTTTCTGCTTACACATTGCCTTTTTCCTCCAAAAATTCCAGGTAGCTTTTACTAATGGTAGATTCCTACAGCAATTGGATTTGTTGACGGACACAGTTTATGGCAGAAGGAAGGGAAAAGCTTTGAGTTGATTAGATTATGGCGGCCACAAATTCTGGTTAACAAACAAATTATAAGCATTCATTGTTGAGCCATTTTAACGATCACAATTTACATGTAGCAAATTTGAATAATTAATTAAATTGATTTTTGTTTTGAAATTCTTCAGTGAAAAGAATGTTAGGAGGATCACCTTCTATTGGTCTATTATTATTTGTTTTTTTTTTTAAGCAATTTTTTGCAATTTTGCTTCAATACTACGTAGTAATGAATGATATGAAAAATGCATGTATGAGATAGTTTGAATTTTTATCACAAATGGTCCTTGAAAGTGACGTTGTTCGTCACTTTAGTCTTTGAAGTTGAAAATTAATCAACGTCATCCCTAAAATTTACTAGAAACATCAAGTAACTGATTATCACAACATTTTTTTGGGTATCACACCCTTTAGTCCCTTCTAATTGCCTAGATCACCACCCCATGACCCGGAACAAGAGGATGCAAGCTGAGAGAGAATACAAGAAGAAACCGTCACAAACTTCACATGCATCACACGCTTCTCATACTCACGTGTCTTGCACGAGTATATCTAAAACAAAGTCAGCTACTATGACAGCTGGCACAATCCTAGCTTATGAGCTAGTTTAATCTCAGCCATCTATTTCCAATTCAAGACTTAATCACTAACAATACATTACCTGATCGAAGAGAAATAAAAAACAACTTTACAATACATACAGATAAGTAAATACTGACCACGCACCAACTACAGGTGAAGTAAGAAATACCCGAAAAAGAAAAAAAACTAAATAAAAGAGCTCTCAGAAGCAGAAACCAACTCAAAACATGAAAGAGTCACAAACTCTTACCACACAAAATCACCATTTCTTCCCTCTCTCAGGTCCTTTAGTCTTACTACTATATCATTGATGATGTGCCAAATACCTCAATCCCCATTACCCCGTGACCCACAAATACCTCATATCCTCCCACCTCTCCTTGAGGCTGCCACTGCCTCCTTTCCCCTTAGCTTGAGTCCACCATATCACTCAAAGGTGTAGTGCTCTGACACTGATCCAAATACGCCTAAGTGCTGAGAAATTATCGTTTTTAAAGAGAGAGATGCTACATCTACCTCAAGGAACTCTAAACGTCGCTGCCTCATCTCTTCCAAACATTAACATTGCTGCCTGTTCTCTTCCAAATGACGCTGCATCATCTCTTCCAAACAGCTTGACTCCTCAGGATCAGTCAAAATGTGATGAGAAATTTGTTGGCATTCCCACATCCGTCAGCATCTCTTCCACCCACACCTGCCGCATCTCCACCTCCCACATCTCTTCCACCCACTCTTCCACCTCTTCCACCCGCATCTCTTCTACCTCTTCCACTCGCCGCCGCATCTCTTCCACCCACTCTTCCACCTCTTCCACCCACTCTTCCACCTCTTCCACCCACCTCTTCCACCCGCCGCCGCATCTCTTCCACCTCTTCCACCCACTCTTCCACCCGCATCTCTTCCACCTCTTCCACCCACCTCTTCCACCTGCCGCCGCATCTCTTCCACCCGCTCTTCCACCCGCCGCCGCATCTCTTCCACCTCTTCCACCCGCTCTTCCACCCGCATCTCTTCCACCCGCTCTTCCACCCGCATCTCTTCCACCCGCCGCCGCCGCCGCATCTCTTCCACCCGCCGCCGCCGCCGCATCTTTTCCACCCGCATCTCTTCCACCCGCCGCCGCATCTCTTCCACATAGCTTGACTCCGCAATATCCTGCCTCTCTTCCACATCAGCCACCTCTTCCACCGCCTCATGCCACATCTCTTCCACATAGCTTGACATATCCTGCCTCTCTTCCACATCAGCCACCGCCTCATTTTCCATGTTTGGGACTATGACATTAAGCTTAGGCTCAGTGCTTCGAAACTGAGCCATATCCCCCAAATTGATGAATTGCTGTTCTGGGCGGTAACCATCTAAACCAGTTTCCTTTATGTCAAGGCGCTTCAAATACCGTAAATCTTCAGGCAACTTCGAAAGTTTTGAGCACCCATTGAGAGTGAGCCATTCGAGACTTAACAAATTGCAGATACTGTCCGGAAGATAGACCAGGCTTTTGCAGTTTTTCATATTTAACGACACTAGCCCCTGAAGCCGTTCAATTGATGCAGGAAGCTCTCTGATAGATGTGCTATCCAAATCAAGGCTGGCTAATCTTTCCATATTTTCTAATATGTCTGGAAACACCTTAAGCTCTGTACAACCAGAAAGAGAGAGATACTTTAGGGACTTGAGCTGACAAATGCTGCTTGTAAGACTCTCAAAGTCTTTGTTATACCGTAGCGTCAAGGTAGCAAGCCCCGTAAGACTATAAATTATGGATGGCAATTCTTCAATTGCAATCCCTGAAAACTTCAAATTTTCTCGGCCGGGAGAGACTTCTGCAACTAGCATCCAATCTAAATGAAGCTCTGTTAGGTTCTCCGTAACTTTTAGAAACTCTGGAAAATTCTTCAGATTTGAGCAGCCAGAAACATTCAGGGCTTGAAGAGATCTCATATGAAAGCTGCCTGGAAGAATCTTTAATCTTCTGCAATCCTTCAGGCTTAGGGTAACGAGTCCCGTAAAATTTTTGACGGACGAGGGCAGTTCTGAAATTGCAGTCTCATCTAAATTAAGCTCTAATAGGTTCATAACTTCAGGAATTTTTGAAAAATTATACAGCTTTGAGCAGCTGGAAAGATTAAGGGTTCGAAGAGATCTCATATGAATGCTCCTTGGAAGCCTAAGAAGTTTCTTGCATTGCTTTAGACTCAAAATCTCAAGGTTTTGAAGAGATGAAATTGATGGGGCAAGGCCTTTAACAGATGTCTCATCCAAGCGAAGCTCTCTTAATCTTTCCATATTTCCGATATTTTCTGGAAGGGCCTTGAGCTTTGGACAACCAGAAAGATTAAGAAGTTGCAGGGACTTGAGTTGAACAATGCTGCTTGGAAGAATCTCAAGTTCTCTGCAATATTCAAGATTCAAAGTAACAAGCCCCGTAAGATTGTTAATTGATCGAGGCAGTTCTTTTATTGCAGTCCCTTGCAAATAAAGCTTTGAAAGCTTCTCCATAACTTCGGAAATCTCTGGAAACTTCTCAAGTTTTGAGCAAAAAGAGAGATCAAAGGTTTCAAGAGATTTCATACAAATGTTCCTTGAAAAGGACTTGAGTTTGCCGCACCAACTTAGATCAAAGAGGACAAGTTTTTCAAGGGCAGAAATGGATGGGTGAACCTCATATAAACTTGTGCATCCACCAAGAATTAGCTTCTCAAGATTCTTTGCCTCAGCGAAGTCCGGTGTTTTTTTAAGACGATGAGAGCCTTTTAAATTGATAATTTTCAACTTTCCAAGAGGCTGTCAATATACATTAAGGAAAATATGTGTTACATACATAAGAAGGCATTTAAAACTAAAACATTTAAAAAGCAGTATATAGGTAAATGATGAACGTACCTTAGTTCCTTTCCAGAGGTGTTTAACCCAACTATATTGCATGTCAATGTCAACAAGATTCTCTGGGTTAAAATTGAACGATAAAGACTTTAGCGGACATTTGTGCCAGAACAGATAACTTAATTTTTCAAAGAGAAACTTTAGATCCCTGTATTTCCATCTAGTATCTAGCATCGTCAGTGGTTGTATATTGTGGCTATGGACTCTGAGTAGTCTTAGCTTTGTCATTTTAAAGAAAGCGATATCTAATTCCACCACATTGTCTGAGTGTGGCCAATGCACAATTATGCTTTCAACTGCTTCCGTAGCCTGGATTACCAAAATTTCACATTGAATGAGTACAAACTCAAGATTATAACGCCTAAAGCACATGTTTCTCATGAATTGGATTTTGGTCAAAGCTAAAGCTTTATAATTTATTATAATAATTATTTTTTAAATTTACTAACGTTAAAGGAAGGGAGAAGATTCGAAACAATTACATTAATGGAGGGGAGGGGAGTGCATTTCTCACCGTTTTTTTAGTTAACACATGATGCACATCTTCATAGCTCCACAACCTACTACGCCCACCAGGCTCTTTTATAGATTCCTGGCGTACGATTTCGTGACCTAGTTCCTCTAGTAGATCATGCATCTCAAGTACATCGTCAGATGAGATAGTGACAAGAGCTCTTCCAACTAGGACGTCTAATCCGGTATGGGGATGCAAGTCACAACCTTCCATAATCCGTATTGCAGAGTCTTTCTTCATTTGTTTAAAGAAACATGCAATATCAAGAAATATTTCCTTCTGTAAACCATCTAGTCCATCAAAGCTTGTTCTAAGGACTTTCTGAATTCCCAGGTGCGGGTTTCTCGCTATTTTCTTTAACTCATCTTTCCACACAAGTACACTTTTGTTATCGAGAAATGCTCCCAAGACTTTAAGTGCTAAAGGCAAGCCTTGAGCATATTTTATGAAATGGCCTGACAGATCAATGTATTCTTCTGTGGGTTGCTTTGTACTGAAAGCATACTGCATAAACAGCTCGACAGCGTCATTGTCATTTAACAACTCGGGCTCATATATCTGATCACCAATTCTACTTAGTGACTGTTTATCTCTAGTTGTTATAATGATCCGACTTCCGCCACCAAAGGAGGGTTGATTTCCAATTAAGGCTTCAATTTGGGATGAACTCTCCACATTATCAAGAACAAGTAAAACTTTTTTCCTACCAACTCTTTCAATCATCTTCTGAAAACCATTTTTCAAAATCTCTGAACTCCCCACCTTCATATTTGTGATACTAGATAGAATTTCTGCCTGCATATCTAGTGGCGCTTCACCTGCATCAGTTGAGGGAAAACGTTGCTTCACATTTTCAAGAAAGCAACGACCTTCGAAGTGATGATTGATTTTATCATACACAGCTCTAGCGATGGTGGTTTTGCCTATACCGCCCATACCCCATATTCCAACAAAGCCAATGTTATCGACCTCGGGACATAATAGTGAATCCATTTTCTTTAAGCGGGAATCCATTCCAACCAAGCCATTCTTTTCACTTGATAAGATGTTGATCAATTTCTTAAAAATATCATCTACAATCAACTCAACAAGCTTGGCATCATCCCTGCGAAATTTGAAAAAACAATATTGTCAAGTCCTGCGATTGCTAGTTATATAACACTCATCACACTGTCATTGAAAACACAAAGTAACGACCCAACAATTCTCAGGAGTTTATTCTTCTTTCATTTACTCAATGCACTCTTCTAAGTTCAATCAACATATAAGAGAACTAGTCATCTACATCCTCTCCAGATGTTTTATAGACCTTTTAATAGTGGCCATATATTTTGATCTTGCGGTTTGAAGAATTAATTTAACTTGTTCTTTTTTTACTTATTAATGTTGGATGACGTCTTTAGTACATTATGTCTCCTCTCTGTTTCTCACACCTGCTCTTTCCTCATCATGAGAAAAAGTAAATACAAACAAGTGAATTCTTCACCGGAAGATCAATATCAAAGGCCCCTAATTTTTTTTAATTAGTTTCATCATGAGAAAAAGTAAATACAAACAAGTGAATTTTCCTCATCATGGCAAATATCTAGGTGTGGTGGTGGAAAGTTTTGCAGAGAGTTGGTGAGTATTCAATTTTGTAGAGGGTTGGGAAGGAAGTCTTGGTTCCAGTTGTATTAACATTAATGATAACCACAGGAAATTAGCGACTATAAACGAAATAAGAATTTTCTTCAAAACTAAAACGACCAAAACAGGAAATTAGCTAAACTTCTAAACTAGTAAGTGAATAAGATTATGAGGGAATGAGTTACTGGTAATTTTGTGAATCCCAGCCACATAAATCGGGGGCTCTTTGTAAAGCGGACCTCCACCGCTGCACTTCTTCCATGTCGGCGTTAGGATCATCTTCATGTTTAGAAAATGCTTCCTCAAAACTTCCCTTGATTTTACGAACATGAGATGGGTCTACTTCGTAGAAGATGGGAATCACAATCTGCTTCTTCTGATCCATGCACTGCAGGATTTGGACGAGTTCTTTCAAGCACCATGTGGAAGAAGCGTAGTTTTGAGAAAAAACTACAACTGAAAGCCTCGAGTCGCTTATAGCCGTCAGTAGCTGCGAAAGGCCGTTGCCTTTTCTGAGCTCTTCAGCGTCAATGAAGGTGTTGATTGAGTTCTGAACTAGAGCTTTGTAGAGATGGCCGATGAAGGTCCTGCGAGTGTCTTCCCCTCGAAAATTCAAGAAGACATCGTATTTCCAATCAGGAACAGATGAAGAAGAAGAAGCCATCAACAAGCACAAGACCGACAGCCTAATGTGAGTCTCGTGTGGCCCCTTAACAAACTCAAGACTGCCGGGCAACGACCACCTTTATCGGTTCTCACTAGAAAAATGAGCTGGAAGGAGGGGGGGGTGACGCTTGGAAGTTCCCAGGAAAGAAAGGGTTGCTTTAGCTCAATAAGGTCCACTAATCTACGCCGTCCGATTGAAATAAAGCAAGTGGGATTGCACATGGTCGCCGACAACCCCATCAGGCTGGGCCCCAGTCCTCTCAGGAAATCCCCTTTTCCCTTGCTTTTTGGCGCGTTGTCTTCCTTTTGGCGCGTTAAAGTGCGCACATTTCTCTCTTTCTCAGGTCCACGCGCAGAGTGGGTCAGAATTTTTAAGAGAGTTTTAACAAAAAAAAAAAAAAAAACTCACGATATTATTCATTTTAATAAAAAATCATATTTATAACTAAAAAGTCAATTCTGGTACTATTCACTTTACCCTTTATTTTGTCCTTATCATTAAAACTCAAAATTTTCAAATTATTTTCATTAGTTTTCCTAATTTTTAACCCAACCCGGTTTCTCGTGTTAAATTTGTTGGCCAAATACCAGTTTTAGTTAAAACTGATTTTTGGCCTAAAGGTCGGAGTAAATTGGAAGGAATTTAAATTTTAAATTTTAGGTTTTACTAGAAAGTTTGGCCTTCACATTGCTGCGGGATTAGAAATTATGTGAAAAATTATGTTTTGGTGGTATAAACACATCAACTTCTATCACATCTAATTGAATCAAGCAATCTCCAAACATGAGAAATGGATCTTAGAAAGTATAAATATTACCTCATAATATTAATACAATGAACAAATTCTTAGTGCATGATCACAAAAAGGTAAAGAAAAGTAATTCAATTTCTAAATTTCAAAAATAGGTCTAAGTTCTCCGTTCTCACCATAATGAAAATTATGATATCATTTTAACATGAACTCAAGTTTTATTTCGGTCACTAGCATTATAAAGCTAGCGACTTCAACTTGTGCAAGCAAACAACTGAATTAGACCCAAGCCTAACTTTGATTTAACCAAATCAAAAAAGCAATTACGATCAAACTAACCACTCTTATTCCCATATGTAGAAGCTATCTCTTGTTTTGCCTTTGTGAGCAGTGCAGTTTTCACTCTCTACACACAAAATGAACACACTCAAAATAATCAGCAACATTAAAAAACTTAATAAATTATATGTATACATTACTATATATGTATTGAACATAAAGTACAAAAATTTACTAACAGATTAAAAAAAAAAAAGTAATTATGAATTGGAATTAAATGATATTATAGTTGTTAAAGAAATACCTGACCAATTTTTACAAATAGCATCATAAATTGTTAAAAAAATAACTGCACTGAAATATCTAATTACTCAAATCTATAGTTCTATTAAAACACGTCACCGAAAACCCCAAGGAGAGGTGCATATTCCTAACCTTGCACGGTTAAATTTGCATTTTGTTTGAGGGGAGAAAAATGATC